AATGTATTAGGCATGTTAGATTAAGAGGATTCAAACAACTACAAAAAAATTGGTTGAAATCTACAGTCGCATCGCGAATAATTGAAAAGTGAAAAGTTAATGGAAAGAAATGGATGTCCAACAACTTGATCTTATTGGAAGTAATACCTGCTTCTTGGGGATTCAAATGACTTGAATGTTATGCAGGTGTTATGTGGAGTGTTGCAGTGTTCGGTTGTTTATACGCAGCCGGTTAGCCGATCTAGCCTCAGAACAAACAAACCCTCAATACAGTCGAGGTTCGGGTTTTATGCTGTTTTAAATGAGGTCAAAACACTTATCTATTGAATTCCACTGTTCATGGCACATTTTAATCCACATTCATAACTTTACTGAATTCAGAAATGGAACACGAAAGTGGCGGTTCAGTTAGGTGAGATTATCGAAGAGAACTTTTGTGGCTAAATATTAGCTTGAGAACCAAAAGTTGAAATGTGAACCAGGATTTCGGGATAACAAACTCCAACGATTTGAGTGAAAGATCTACGTTAGGCCGAGTCCTGCGAGAAATGGCTAAGAGATAAGAACTCACCTCTTATTGCTTTCTTCGCTTGTGAAGAATGGATAAGTAATCAGTTGTTCGTAGAAGACAAAGAGTCAGAACAGAAAAAGAACAAAACAGACCTTTAGGAGGACCATCAGCTTTTCGGGATATGCACAGAATAAAAACCACGTCCCAGAGCGATAATTCTAGCGAAAACAAGGCTCCGTTCCACTTGCCCTTTACTTCAAACGAAATAAGTGCAGCTATAAAACGTTGCTTAATAAGGGCCGGCCTAGAGAATTCCGTAAGAATGATAGAAATATCGGACACTCTAAGACGCCAGCTAGTTCGCAACCGCCTATATAACCGTCTATGTGCAACGAAAAATTGGATAATTTGCCCTAACGTTAGAGACGGTGATTGCCTGAGTTCGGGTACAGTCTATCTGATCTCTTCTGAAGCGTGCGGGGACGAATACGTTGGCGAAACGGGTAGACTGCTCTGCGTCCGCATAGAAGAACATCTAGTCGGTGAATCATGCAGGAACACAACGGAGAAGATTTTGAAGCAGGAGCCACTATCCTCACGCAGAAATCGGAAACATCAGCGAGTAACTCTTGAAGCGTTTTGGATCAATTCCAAAGATTCGAAAATGAACTGCAAGGGGGAGTGTTTTGTCATCACGCGTGACTTGGCGCCACACCTCAGGCTAATCCAATAAGCTGACACAGGCACAGTTATCGCCCATGTATTGTGCGGCTGCTATCCAACAACTAACTTAAATACTTACAACAAATAAACGGTAGGTGTTTGAATGAAGCTGTTTCTTATGTAAATGCAAATCGATTTGTCAAGTTTTATCTGCTGGGGTTATGAAAGTGTTTGGCTGAGTAGATCACATCTCAATTTGACCTTTCCAGACTCTGAAGAAGGCGAAACCGCCGAAACGTCAGCTATTGTATCCTAATAAATTCTATAAGGACAACCTCGTACCTGCTTATTGAAGAAAAATATAGAATAATCAAGGAATCATTCAAATTTGAAGCCACAAAAAAATCAATAGAGTCGGCGTACAAAAATCTGTATCATTGCTTTTCACGTGAAATGCGTTTTGGTAGACTTTATCCCAAACACATTCAAGCTTCATCAGGTCAAAGTGTGTAGTGTTCATTGCTTCCATAGCTTCTGTTTTTAAATAAACAAATTGGTAGATATTGGGAACGCTCCAGCCCTTCTATCTCAGGTCTCCAAAAAGAATTGGTCGACCAGCATTCTGCGACGTTCAAGATGAAATGGAAATCCTCAAGCAGCAATCGAAGTCACATTTGAAAGTTGGAAGATCTTCGTGGGTGATGGATGCTAGGAAACGAATCGAATATAAGAAGTATCCGTACAGTAGACGTGAAGGCAGGTCATATAGAATAAAAAATTGGTAGGTAAGTTTACTGATTCACAAAGAATGACGCACATGTTTACAGCGATGAGAATCAAAAACAATAGAATTCTGTACAACTCCATCCATTGGTGGCGATCTAACACGGAGAACGAAATCAAAACAGAAAATCTGAACTAATCACAAGGAGATCGATAGGCGAGTGCACATGACTTTGAAACACATACGAGCTAAGCAGTGAATAACCAAAACGGGAACAAGAAAAAAGGAAAAAATGCTTCAATGAATTTGATTTTCGTTTAAGCAGAAAAAAAAACAAATACAGTCTGCAGGAAAAATTTAGCGATACACGAGCTTTATATGAAAGTTAGAGCTACCAGGCGAGGAATCGTATGAAGTCCGTCGATAATCACCGGTTCGTTCTTCGTGAGCAGCACCTCCAAAGACACTCATTCATTGCATCCAGAAGAGCAGAAAGACAAAAGATGAGAGGAAAGTGACGGCAAACGCATTTCCTAAAGTTTTCGTCGTATGTACGAAACATTCATGAACGACTTCTATTCATTTTAACCTATTTGTTAAAAATTTTTGTTCTGTTCTGTTAGACAATGACCGTCTGGAGCTAACTCTTGTTTAAAATTTATGGCTTAATTGCTATAATTTATGAGCAACCTGCAACTTCTTAACTGCACTGCCTGATAAGGGACAGAGAAACCTGTACCAGAACTTGAAAATAGTATTTTAACCATCAAACTCCTTCGTTTTTTTTGAATCCTTTTTAATCCTTTTGCAACGAAGCTGTTTTTTCGGCAACGGACGACAATCTCTCGATTATTCAGTGATTCAGAGCTCTATAGATTTACAGGATTTAGAGAACAGAGTTTGTACCGTTATAGTAACCATGTATGCCTTCTTTACACAGCCTTTTTTAAAATTTAAATACGCTTAGAATTAAAGCTTTCGAGGTGTTAATGATGAATTTTAGGTTTTTGAAACTTTCAATGCAGCAGCGAAAGCTGAAATATAAGCGACACATTGCACCATCGTTTAACGCTGGGCTATTCCCATTGGAAGAAATATGCGTCTTGAGTACCAAAAAATACCAAAAAGTTTCATTGTGGTAAAACAAGACAATATTTATTCTGTAGGCAAATATTAGTACATTCCAATACAATCACAATAATGCTGAGACATATGCAAGGCTCAGACCCTAGGCCGGATTCGTTGCTTCGTTACCGCGATTACCCTCTCCGAGGGCTCACATGTTAACCACCGCACCACTGAGGTCATTGTTTTGCCTTTCAGCTAGTTTCCTACCTTAACGGTGCCATCAGCAATCACCTATCAAGAGGAATGATGTGGGAAGCACAAACCAGCATTAAACTGAGTGGTTGCATTTCACATAATATCCTGCCATGAATGAATAGTAGACAGTAAACAAAAAGTTATACATTGCAAAATTTCTACTGCAATGAATAAAATTCACTCTAAACTGAGAGATGCTGGTCTTAAAATAAAATTAAGTGCTGCCAATCAAACTACTCCAATAGAGGTAACGTCGCCGCGTAAATGTTAATGAGCACTAGGGACTTGTTAAAATGATGGCTGATCAATTACTGTGTAATTTATCACGAGAGATTACAATCTTCTAGAATTTCCCATTCCGAATCCGAGTAAACGAAACGTGTAAAAGCAATGGATAGAAATGAATTTGAGAAAAAATGTCGCTATAAGCGCAAAGTCAAAATTAGAGGTGAGGAATCGAAGAGCTTTGAAATAAGCGAAGTGTATTTGATGTAAACGGATTTCATGTTCTAGGTCCTTCTAAAAACTTTAAGCGAGGCAGAGTGGATGATAGCAGGGTAATACAATTCTACAAACCCCTCTACTTCACACGCGACCGCCACAGCAGCTATGTTAAATATTTCACAGTTTACGGAGACATTGGCACCGAATATATTCAGTGACGGTAAGCCGGTCATCCGTTTTCAGAAATACTTGAGCACTTTTCTATAGCATGCTAAGCCTCATTCATAGTAACAAAGTGAGAGAAAAAAGAATTTATTCCCCTTTAAGGGACAAAGCTTAAAACGTTCGGCGTTGATCAGTCGCTCAGGGATGCACCATTTATTCGAGCTCTATGCATTTGAGCTTATTGAGGACCGCAGAGTTGATTCAGTAACCGTGTTTTCCGTCTCTCGGAAATGCCTACCACCACTTTCATTAACTCTAAGGGCTGGAGGGTATGAAAACAAAATGTGCATTACTGGACACCTCTGACCATCAGGCTACACTTGCGTAAAGATTTCTCGAAAACAAAAAAACGGTGCATCATTGATACACAGCAATCATACTGCCTTAACTTGAATCCTCTTTTAACTTATTATTTACTACCTACTCTTTTTATTGGCAAGGTATATTGTCAATTATAACCTAAATGGAACGAAGGACCCGCATGTGTAGTGGTGAGCGCGTTACTCCCCGGAAATGCAGTATCGCGTTCGCTCCCTCCCTGCGGTCGGGAATTTTGCAAATATCTCAGCATCAATGTTTGACGTTTTGTTTTCTGCCTTCTATAATTTTCATGGCAGGTTACTAAGCGAAATACAACCATAACGTTGCTGAGATATTTGCAAAACTCTAGACCGCAGGTGTCTATGGTGGGGAACGAACGCGCTATTGTCCTTTCCGGGGAGTAACGCGTTCACCAGGACCCGCATGGTGTGGTGGTGAACGCGTTACTCCCCGGAAAGGACAATAGCGCGTTCGTTCTTCACCATAGACACCTGCGGTCCAGAGTTTGCAAATATCTCAGCAACGTTGTGGTTGTATCTCAGCATCATTTAATCGAATTGTTTTAACTTTTATTTCCTGCCTATTTTTTCATGGCTGGATACTATGTGAAACACCATGGCAGAGGTGCTGCGATATGAGCAAAATTCGGAACCTCAGGTGCGTTTCAACTCGGGAATTCGGGATTACCTTTTCCGGGGCTCACCCTTTATAACTATACCATTGAAACCTTTAATTTTCCTTCCTATCAGTCAGTTCCTTTACTGGTTATTCATATTGATGTTGTTACTGTCACGTGTTTGTAGATTCCGCAACTTTCAAGAATCGAAGTGACTTACCGACAGATTTGGATTTTTCGACCATCTCTTCATTTTGACTGAGAAACCCGAGCTCGTTTTGCTCACGCTGATTCTGAAATATTATCTTTGTTATGAAATTCTCAAAATGAATCTTTGTGGCTGGAAATATGACTGAAAGTTCGAAAATGAAGCTTTTTCGTTTATTCATTTCTATTTGACTCCCACAGCACATTTGGAAGGTAACTACTAATAGGTGGCGTTGGTTTGAAAACATGAAACGTTTCTTCAACGGTTCTTCTGTAGTACCCTTGTCATATGCGCCCAAGCTAATAAAAAAAGATTGATATTTAGGTTAATAAAGGAATTAAAGCTTGATTTTAAAGGCCTGACTTGAGATGCAGAGCGCTTGTTCATGTGACCGCACCACATGTGGAACTAACTGAGATTCGTCTTCGGCTTGCAGCGTTGAAAAAGGCAGAAGAAACAAACGCACTCTCAATTGCTTCCATCGGCTGATGAAATTGTCGTCAAGAGGTATTGGTTCGATTTGAATCGATTTGTCGAATTTCAGCTTTCGATTGTGGTTTTGCAGATAGCTCTTCCAGTCGAACTCTGAGTTACTACGCTTCAATGAAGGGTAGGCCCGAGCTCAACAGAAATCACTCACCGACATCAGGTAACACGTTCTTCTTCCAGTTCAGCTCACCATTCTCCTCGGCTAGATAGAAGCGATTCTGCATCAATTCTTGCAGGTCCACATCTATGCCGAGTATTGGGTCTCGGCGCTCTATCTAGGCTTTCAAATATAGTAATCTTCACTCATAAACACGAATATTAACCGTTTCATTTACTCTTAACAAGACAATTTTACGAATCTACATGAAAATTTTTCCGATTAAAAAGATCAAAGATAAATAGAACGGTCCAATAGAACAGATCTTAAACTAATAAGGCTACTGCTCCTTTACTACACATAAATTGGGCAATCCTTCGAACGGTTTACCTCCTCATCGTGGCTGGGAGGTATCGCTGCATGTCGTCGGGCTGCGATGCACAGCTGGTGTATTCATCCCCATCAGGGCCTCCCAAGCTTATTCCGTTTTTTTCTATCCGAAAACCCAGTTCAAAGTAAACCAGTACCGAGAATCCCACTGTCTTGGTATTGAACTACTCTCATGGTGGCAAATCTCTCTATGATGCAGGCTGCTTAGGGTGGTGACGATCTGAAAAAGGTTTCGGCTAAGCTGACCTCTGGACTTCAGGGATCCGCAGTGGTTAAACCATCAAACCTATGCAGAATGGAAATTATGCTGAGGCCCGTACAATCAGTGAAGATAGGCCATCTAAGTTTCCAAATAAGTAAGTAAATTGGACAACCCATTTGAATTCGTTTCTGACTTTGGGCACGAAAGGCGTGAGAGAAAATTCCAAAAATTTTGCATAGTCTTCCTTGTGAATCGCTTTATTCAACAGATAATATCTCGAAAGTTTTTGATAAAGGCAAAAGTTTCAATGACAGAAATGATCCAGTTGAAAAATTCTTAGAATGATTTAGCTCTTAGTAGTAGTTCTAAAACTAGCAGAGGTAAGAACATGTTAGGTCATCAAGTAAAATTGTGACCTAAACATTTTCAACTTGAAAGAAGCCCGCCATGTTAAGAGCGATAAAACTCCTAATGGTTTCACTTCACTGTGATGTAAAGATCAAAGAGAACGTCGACTATCGTTTCGCTGTTTTTTGAATAAAAAATCTTTGTTTGGTCAAAGGCAGTTATTTTAAGCTGCATAGGCAGTGGAGCATGACAAAAATCTGGTAGTTTTTTGTTCACAGAGAAAAGAATTACGGTAGGTTGAGAACGGCTTAGATTTTTTTAGTGAAGAAAAGGAAATCACCACCACTTCCGTTCCAAACACGACCGCCATGCGCATATTCTTCTCATTGCACAAACCTAATCGTCGAACGAAAAGTCCATCTTTCTTACCGGATGAAGTTGCTGAAAAATTTTGCTCTGGACTAAAGGTAATCATGAACTAGATCAGAGCAAGGTGGGATATAATGATAGAATAAGTTATTTTTCGTACTCTTCTTGTTAATACAACTTTCTACTTAGATGAATTCCTTCCTAGACGCCATAATTCAAAGCCCTTCTTTATAATTCAAATGGTAGGAGTACCACGAACACATGGTTTATTAACAGACTCACGACTTTCCTGATCTTTTTTAAAACTCATGATAAATGTTAGAACCTAGAAATTTGAAGAATTGAAACTTTCTTAGAGCTATAGAAGAACCTTTGCTGAAACTTAGAACTTCATTGCGATAGAAAAAGGAAACAGGTGGATTTTGTTGGATAATATTTTAATGATTTCCATAGCAACTAATGAAGTTCAGTATCAAATGGGAGATGTTTATTTAAAGGTGTGAGGCTAAAATAATTCTGCGCACGTATGCATTGAAATCAATACATGGGACAGCAGTCATGTTTATTGGACATCTAATCTTGAGAGACTGCATTTTAAATACAATTTTGAGGCACGGATGAGATTAGCATAAGGAATGGGTCGGAAATAAATACCAGAAAAAAAGCGGTAATAAAGTGTAAACTTGTTTTTAAATAATTCCTGAAATCTAACTGAAGACAGAAAGGCTATGAGGATGACGAGGACGTCGGAACGTTGGCTGAGTAAAACTGTTCATCAACCTCATGTTGGTTTAATAATCTGGAAGGGTATTGATTATTAATGCCATGGTGGTTAAATGACAGTCGGTTTGAAAAAAAACCGATTTCCCAATTGAAGAATTGTTTTACTTTCTGATAAGTTTCGTATGTGTTGTGAAGGAACTCGGCAGGGTTAATCGTCCTCGTTGAGGAAGCGAAAATCAATTATTAAGAGTAACTAAATACTAGAGGAAATTTCTTCCCAACGGTTTGCCGCCTTATCGTGGCTGGGAGGTGTTTATCAGTGTCGGGCTGCGAAGTACAGCAGGGAGATTTATCCACCCAAGAGGGCCTCCCAAGCTGAAAAAGAGTTCGGAGTTTCCATTGGGAAGTCCAGCTAAGAGTGAACCAATACCAGGATCTACCACCGTCCTGGTATCAAACTACTCGCATGGTGGCAAATTTCTCTCTGATCTAGAAGGGCGGCGACTGCTTATGGTGGTGACGACCTGGGGCAGACTATGGCTAGGTTTACCCAGGAATTGCAAAACACCACAATAGCTGGGCCATCAAAACTTCGAAAAAATGGAAATTACGCTGGTGATCGCACAACCAGTGAGGACGAGCCATCAAAATATCCGAGTAAGTATGTAAAGAAAACTTACTAATGAAGTATACTTGTCCCGGTTCGGATTCGTCTTGCTTCAGTAGGTGGTGAATAACATGGTGTTCACCGTCGCATGAACCCACTAATTCGGCAGTAGCCCCAAGCGAACACCGCTGGAACTCTTCGAACGACACCTGAGAGATGAAATTCAGAGGAGCACATGAAAAGATCTGTTTCCAGGTAGAAAAAAAGACTAGAGATGAGATTTGTTTTTCTGAAATGGCAACAATATATACTAAAAGTAAGGCATACTTTGTGTATAAGACTGTATTCTTTTGCCTTTCTTCGAGGACAGTGAAAATTGATGATGTCAAGTGGTCGAGCGGGCAATTCATAGTAACCAGGCGAGTCGATAGCATTGTCAAACGGTTCGAATCTAAGTGAATAACATAGAACTTCTTCAGTGAAATCTCTTTACAGCGAAAAATTCACGTGAATGAGGACATAAAGACTTTTTCACGATTAGCTGGAGAAAGTGTGGTTTTTCTTGTGTTTAATAAAGCTTATTCTATTGTAAAGTACTAGTGGGCAGTGAATAATAAGCTAAAATTGTTATTATAACTGCAGCCTCAGCTTAACTGGGATCATCGCCTATTTGGACTCCTCAGATCAATCCCGTCGACAGGTGATTGCTGATGGCACTGATCGATAAAACTATCTGAGAGGCAGGCGAAACTAAGGATCCGCATGGTGCGGTGGTGAACGCGTAAGACCCAAAAAGTGTAATAGCAGGTTCGATCTCCACCACAGACATCTGTGGTCCGGAGTTTTGCAAATATCTCAGAATCGTTAAAGTTTATTCTATTCAGAATGACAATATAAGCGATTAGCACTCAGCATTTACGAGCACACAAGATTTGCGGGTAGCTTTACTATGTCGAACAAAAATGTGTTCTAGTTCAGGAAATCGACAACCCTGAATTTTTGTTTGCTAAATAATGAAAAACCTACAAGGGATTTGATGAATTCCAGTAGACGTCATATTGTTCTTGTTCAGCGTTCACTATGAAGAATGAGCACACAGTGAGCAAAATACCAAATCGGACCATTTCTGAAGTGCGAAATCAGTGACAGACAAAAAGGATGTGGTCGAAGGAGTAGAAACCGGACGATGGCAGACAAAGGAGCACGTTTTGGCGAAAATTCGGCATGGTGACGTTGAATAATGGAGAAACAAGATAGTAATGAACTATAGCGTATGATGGTGTTAGTCATGAAAAGAATTTGTACGGTATCTCCGACAACAATACAAGGTTTCAGTTCTGATGAATCTCTAGATTCAAATTAATCACAGGGTTTTTTTTCTTTGCGTAGAAGATTATGGCCTTCTAGTGAAGTCATAACATTAATCGAGATGCCCTATACCACTCAAGGCGATAAAACTGATTCTTTGATGCACAGAATATCGGAACGACTAAAAAACGCACCATTGTGCTCAGTTGCAATCGAGTGAAGGAAATGAGAAATAAATGGGATAACTTTGACGAATGAAAAAGTACGGAGACGCTGATGTAATGCATGACATTGCGTCACGCTCGATCTAATTTATTATTGCGCGAGGTGTAACTTGTTTTACACGACTTTAACTGAAATATTCTAAATTATGCTATATGAAAGAGAGTTCTGTAAAGGAACTTTCAAAGCGTAAAAGAACAAATGGTAAAGTCTTCGGCGTTGATCAACCTTCCAAGGATAGGCTACGCATCCCACTTCATTAAGCGTCGGTAGGGGTGATTAAATGCATATCTACCCCATACAATGACCAATGAGCTTACCGGTTCATCAAGGCAGTGCTGGTATCCTTTCAGACATATCTGGCACCAACTTGCCTACCTCGTGGCAACGGATTGCTTTGTGACTTCCAGACGGGATCGAAAGAGTGCCAGATCCACCGTGTAGTACATTGGCACCTCTAACCAATGCGCTACTTACGCCTAATGTCGAAATATTAAACGGTGCTCTCGAAATATTTTTTATCATCGCAAAGTCCAAAGGGCTTTACTCAACTTTTCGTTCACTAGTTGTTTTCACGCGTCCACTTCACTGGAAGTGAACGAACTGTGACGTGGCATTTTCCTTCATTATAAAGTGAATAATACAGAGTGGAATGAGTGCGAATCGTCACCATTCAAGAAACGAGAAACGTTGATGATATTTCTTTTTTCTTACGTTCCAAAGCAGATTCCATAGCTGTTAAGTGGTATCTTTGCATAGTTATGCTAAATTATCTTCTTCACGGAACAATTATAAATAAAGGTTTCTAGGTACGTCTCGGAAGACTTCTTTTATCAAGAAAACAGTTTCGGAGGCGAAAATGAATCTAGCGTCAATAACATGCTTCCGTCTGGCCTCATTGGGATACTGTAATGATTTTCTGTGTACCAGATATTATCAGGGCAGTACGGAGGTTCCGGAAGAAAGCATGTGGCTCAGTGGTCAGAGGCGCCCTGCAACAAATACGTGGAAACGATCCCCGTGCCCATGGACCATCAAACCTTCCATCTCTCCGGGGTCTGCAAATTGGTACCAGACTTGTCTAGGAGGATAGTAGCACTGGCTTAAAACATCGGTAGACGACCGTGAGTTATTGTAAGGGCCAGATATGCATTCAATCACCTCCAAGCGATGCCCAGTGAAGTCGAATGCATGGCGCATCTCTCAGAGGTTGATCAACGCCGAGAGCTTTATCCTTTATTTTCACGGAGGTTCCGTTATTGAACAAGCTATTTTTACTCGCCGAAGTAACTGCATAAAGGCTGAATTGCATAAAGATAACTAATGTAATGCAGAAATGACATTTCATAACACTTTAATTTTGCTCGTATTTATGCTTGCATTTACTTTCAGCTACCTTGTGTTTGCTTACGTATGAAGGAATGCACACTGCGGAAGTTTAATTAGGAACTCGCTTTCTTGCTTTAGAGGAAACTCTTATAGGGAATTCTCCCTATTCTGATAATTGAAATGCATACATCGCAGTGTGTAGATGAAATTCACGTGTATTTTCTTATAGAGGTACTTACGGGAGTAATGAAGTGTGAGTGCTCCCAGATAGTATAAGTCGCGCAGTATTATGCATCTGTTTTACATTTTCTACACGCTTGCAATTTAACTTAAAGCCTTGAGATATGATCATCGATTTGGGTACACGTGAGACTGGATTTCACGACAAAACCTTCGGTGTGTTTGGAAAATATCTCTGCAAGTGCTGCGTAGTGTCCCATTCTGCTGTTGATTTGGGCTATTGAACTATGTTCTAGGGACAAGCTGGACAAGTTCTTCGCTGACGATTCTTCGATAAACTGAGTGATCTTGGAAAGAAGATGAAAAATTTAATTCGTTTCACCCAATCAGTAGTCGAATCCACTAGAATGTTATCGACGTAGTAGCATGATTGACGTAATATTGCGAAAATCCCAGGTACAGAGCAGACAAAAAGGCTAAAATCTATTGAAAAATATATTCATAAAGTGGAATTTTACTAGAACGAAGAAAAAACCTTCCAATATCGGAAGGCAGAAATGATGTCAAGACGCTGAACGACGGGTTTCTTGAAACTGGGCATACTGTTCTGGAACTCTGAGATACACTTTGCGAGTAGTACGCTTCAAAACTACTGTTTTTTTTAAAGACAAACTGCCATCACATCTACTGTGCAGATTCCAGCACTCCTTACATCCAACTGGTTTTTCCTGCTTTTATCGGCCCAGTAGAACGCTTGAAGACCGTTACATTGAAATCCACGGATTAAAATGGAACCAGCAGGGTAAACGGTAATCTGAGTTTATCATGCCGAGCATGGTAACTGTCGACTCGAGAAGCCTCACTCTCAATGCTGGATGCGGGCGCTTCCCAGTGGAAAGTACCACGACGAAATGGACGACATCACAGTAAATGGAAGGTTTTGCCGAATCCATGTCTACCAAAATTTTGTAAGAAAGGCGACCATCACCTTCATCGTCCAAGACTTCATTTCTTGTAAAGAGAAAAAAAACCTTCAAATTAAACAAAAATAAAAAACCAAGTCTCAAGACCACAATTAATTGGGATTAATTCAGTTCAGTAGCCAGCGTTGGGAATGTGCCGCTTTTGGTAACATGAATGAGGAGTGCAAACGGTTTAGCATCTTCATGTTATCGGTATGAAAGCTGATAGATTGAAAGTCATTGAGAGACTTCTGTCTCCAGAAACACCCGAGCTGATACTCCACCGTGGAATCGTACGAGCTGCAGGCAATCGCGAACTAGCGTCCGAACTTGCAAAACAATGCAGACAGGCGATAAAAGAAGATCTTAGAGATAGAAGAGCAGCAGTAATGGTCGAAGCTGCAGAGATGGGGAAAGCATTCGCAAAGCCCACTGAAGTTTCGACTGTTGCATAACCAAAATGATCGCACTCCGACGACCAGATAGAAGAGCTACAGAAAAGATACTATTCTGGTCTCTTAAGTAGCCACGGCTTCCAACCCTCATATCAAATAGAGGGTGGATATGTCGTGCCACCGGTTTTCTCTTCCAAAATTCGACATGCTACTTCACCGGTGAAAAATCGAACAACACTGGGCCCAAACAGGATAAGATCAGAACACCTAAAAAGTATTCCGCCAGTCCTCGTAAACACACTGGCCTGGATGTTCACACGTTACCTGTCTGAATGCAAGGTTCCTACTCAGTAGAACACCAGCAATACCGTGTTATTGTTTAAGAAAGGTAACCTCCACGACATCGGCAACCATAGCCCAATCTGCTTGCTCTCTGTCGTCTACAAACGTTTCACTCGAGGCATCCTAAACAACATTAATAGAACACTGGACGAAGGACAGTCATGTGAGCAAGCAGGGTTTCGAAAAGGATTCAATATGGTGGACCCCATCATCACGATAACAAGACTCACATCGCCAAAGTAGAAAAGAGCGCTCTGTTTCATTTTCATCGAATTATAGAAGGCTTTTGACTCAACTTAAAGCGCAAGCCTTAAATAGTGAGATAGTGCCTACTCAATATATAAAGATTCTTCGTGAGCTGTATAAAAAATTCACAACTAGGATATCACAATTTTACAACGGCATTAACATCAACATCAAAAGATGGGTTAGGGAAGGCGGAACCATCTGCCGATATCCCTCCAATACGTCTTTCGAACATTGGTATGGGACAACATGAGGGTAAAAACGATGAGCGGCAGTCGTATGATCTTCACTTTGCTTTTGATATCCTTCTTGAAACACCAAGCATTAGCCAGGCGCAGTCACTCGTAGAAAACTTTGATAAACCCTGTGGAAAGATTGATCTTGGACTAGATCTCACAAAAACGATGTTCATGAGGAACGGATTGGTTACGTATGCCTCATTCATGCTCAACGGAATGAATATCTCTGAATGTTCCAGTTACGTCTATCTAGGTCGCGAAATCAACATGGTGAATGACTGAGCTCCAGAGTTTAGCAGAAGGAGACGAACGGTTTGAGGAGTAACGCTCGATTCCGTGCTCACCTTTTTGACTCAAAGGTACTTCCTGCTCTAACGCATGCGTCAGAAAGCTGGTCGCTGCGTAAGCAGGATGAATTATTCAGTGTTATTGAATGCCCACTCGGAAGGATGATGCTAGGAGTATCTCGTGTAACACAAGTGAGGGAAGAGATCTGAAGTTCCAATATGTGTAAACAAACGAAAATCGAAGATGTCGTGCTATGCGCCTAAATTTTTAAGAATAGATGGGCAGGACACTGATGGGCAAGAGCAGTTAGTGGCTGAATTCCTCGGAATGTCAAACGTACTGCAAAAAGACTACCGACCCGATATTGAGAGTTTTTCACGAAAATCCGAGAAGAAAGATATGATGCTTAAAGAGTTTCTCGAGCAAGCAGAACCCACTAGGCTATTCTTGCATGCGACAGGGAAGAAATGGAAAATTTATTTATCGTTATCTGCAGGCCAATTTAATATCGACTGCTGCAGAATAGATTGTCCATTTAAAGCAAGTAATTATCAGCGGACAATCACCATCAATGACAACCATCCTATATAAAGAGCGCTCCTGGTTGAGGTTG